CGCAGCCTACCTGCCGGGCTGAGTCTTCGTCCCCGCGCCCAGCTATACTCCGTGCTGCTCGCGTTGCTCACGGCCCTACCCCGCGTCTCCTGCCGGCTCGTTGGCTCCCCCGGCTGGCGCCACCTCGCGGCCGCGCCGCCCACCACGAGACCGCCCCGCTAGACTTCAAACCTTTTAGCCGCTCGGCGCGGCGTCTTCGTTTTGTTCACTATATTTGTGATCGCGGGCCACTAGTCGCGCTCCCCCGCGTCTACGACGCCCGTGGGGCCCCTGTGTCAAGTCCAAGTCCATGTAGTCACCTACGAGGCCTGGTTAGCCTATAGAGTTAAATTTTACTTGGCCTGTTTCAGATAATTTTCAATAAAAACTTATCTTTTCTATGAATGAGAGAGTGAACGGTTTTTGGATTTTCTATATTAAAATAACGTTAACAAAATTCTAGGAACTGTGCGATTTCTTAGCCTGCTCTGAAAACTCAACGCTGGACATTGTATACTGATAAATCAGCAATCATTGATGATTGCTGATATACCAGTGTATATAGCATGATTGCTGATATGTCAGCAATCATCAATGATCACGTTTAGGTTTTTGGCTAATATTTCCTTTCAGGTGGACAACATTAAAAAGTGCTTGGCATTTGCAGATTCCTCGTGAAAAAACTTTCAAACGAGCTACCATGTGATACGGTTCACTTTCGAAATGGCCTGCCTCTCGAAAATGTCGGTAATGTAAACCAAGTTATAGTAACGGTCAATATAAACCCTCTCACATAGTAGCTCGTTTGAAAGATTTTTTCACGATGAATCTGGAAATGCTCTCCATTTTTTTTAATGTTGTCAACCTGAAAGGAAATATTAGCCAAAAACCTAAACGTGATCATTGATGATTGCTGATATATCAGCACTCATGCTATGTACACTGATACATCAGCAATCATTAATGGTTGCTGATTTATCAGAGCATGCAATGTACACTGTTGAGTTTTCAGAGTGGTGAATAACTGAAAATGTTCTCGATGGTCTCCAATCAACCAGAAAAGTTTCTGTCGTAACAACCCTCGGTGTAACATACCAGGTGGCTGACCCACGCCGCGCACTTTCGTACTTCTACTGTACCGCATGCTCGCGGGTGGGTTGCGGGGCCATTAGGAGCCGTGGGCAGCGACGATACGCAAGCCCGCCCGCGCCCGTGCATGCGGTACAGTATAACTACAAAAGTGCGCGGCGTGAATCAGCCACCTGGTACATGTGTGTGATGAGTGTAAAAGTAAATAGCTGCTCATCTAAGGTGCTCGTATCATTAACAGAGCAGCTGTAGACAGAAACTGCGGGTTTGCGTCTGCGGCCGTATGCTGATGCTCTGTTGCTGTGTCCCGTGACAGGCTGTAAAGCTCCTTTCTATACATAACACAAATGTGTCCAGTAAATGTGCACAGTGTACAGGTTTTCCTGCCGTGTAACATAAGTCGCACAGCTAATATTGACACCCTAGATATACAATGTAGTAGCGATGGAAACCCAGAGAATGTGTTCTTTGAATCAAAGCAATTCCATGTCCAAAGAAAATTTTGACTTTGATTCAAAGTCAAAAATATTGAAACACGGTGATTCTGGGCAGCCAGGTGCTGCAGGATGCTGCGCACGGTGCATGAGCGGCAGCGGTGCAGCAGAGTAGCAGAGTGCACGGTGTAAGCGGTGCAGCAGGGTGCAGGGCACGGCGCTGAAAGATCATCGCGTCGTCAACGGCGTCTCTCTCTCCCCCTCTCTCTCTCTCTGCAGTAAAGAGCCTCTTTGTGCGGGTGAGCCAGGGCGCGACCGGCACGGCCGGGTGGAGGGAGCGGGGGCAGTTAGTGGGGGAGATCCTATGAGCCTAGGGGGAGTAGCGGGGCGTGGGGAACGGGTTGGGGGGGGGGGGAGTCAAGGAGTCCCGTCTCGTCGCCGCCCCTTCAGGTACGTGGAGAAAAAACCTCCCTTCGATAGAAATAGAAGCGGGCGTGTGCGTCTCTATATAGTGCAGGGGGGGGGGCGCACTCGCGCTAGGGAGCAAAGGGACAATGTCCTTAGGGCCCGTCCTAGGGCACGGCGCCGCCGGCGGTATGTCGCCACTGCAACGCGTTGGTCTCGTAGGGCTGTTCGAGTATCGAAAGGTCCTACATTTTCTAAACTGCATCCGCGTTACAAGGGTGTCCCATTCAAGGCGGGACTTTCCTGACAGAAGTTTCAAAGACCTCTGCGGGTGACTATAAGCCGCTGGGCGCACTGTTAAATATTGTATCGTGATTTGACAAAAAGAATTCTACACAAACTCCGAAATGTTAAGGTAACGAATACATTCGGGGGATCGCCCCCCCCCCCCCCTTCCTGTCCGCCGGACCTCATACCCCGCCTGCACCATTAAATCGTGATGTCACGACTAGTTTGATTTGATATCACGAACAGTTCTTACCCCAGATTACCAAATAACGACACTTTATTTTTAATTACGAACAGATTTTATCGCGAAATGACGAGAGGCTCATCATCCCTACACTCTGAAAAGCCTGTTCTTCGTTCTTGTTACAAGAATGGACTTTGGGGGGTGTACGTTTCTTCGACTCGCTCCTGACTCTGCTCCAGAAACACAGCCCCGACAGACCAGTAGTCCGTAGCGGAGCGATTATATGAACTCAAAGAAGTGGCGCGAAAACGCCACCCTGGATGGGACCCCGGTCCCCGGTATATGAGTTTTTGTTCCGTGCGACAGGAAGGTCACCTCTAAACTACTGGGAACACAATAAAATTAGATCCACCTTTTCACCCTTATTGTAAAATATATTTAGGTCCATCTCTGTGGAGAATGGGTCGCAGCCCAAGCGGGTCGCAGGTCGCACAGGTGACTAGACCCTCATTAAAACACGGAGGTGGACAGCAGCGATTTGCAGCTCTAAAGTAAACACTTGCATCTCAGGCGGCAGTTACAGCTAGAGAGCTCATAGCACGCCGGGCTGGCCACCCGCCCCGCCACACGCTGCCACGCCCCGCCCCGCCACGCCCCGCCCCGTCCCGCCCCGCCGCGACCCCTGCCTGGGACGACGCGACGACGGGGCGCAAGCGGCAGCCCGCACTCTGCTCGCAGCGGCGGCCGGGAGCTGCAGACGTCGGGACCGGCGCATCGTGCATCGCGGGCCTCCTGGACCTCATGGCCCTGGTGTAGGCGGCGAGGGCGCGCTCGCGCGGACCACCATGTCGACCTCCTCGGCGCGCTCGCCCGGGCACCGGGGAGCGGTCATCGCCCTCCTCGTCGCCCTGGTGTGGGGCTCGGCGCACGCCGCACAAGTGAGTCCCCCACCTGCCAGAGCACCTCTGAAGCACTTCAAAACGACTTGGGAAAACAAAAATGCAGTCAATATTTAATTTATATTTTGTGAGATTGCCTGACTGTACCGTTACCTTGCTTGACGTACGCGACCCAGTCACCCTTATCACGAGGTTCTTTTTGTTTTTACTAACACATTTTGTGTTCGTGTTTCAACTTCAACATGCCCTTTGTTTTGTTCGTGTTGATGTTGGCGTGAGCGCGGCCTGCATACGGGGTTTGAATCAAGAATTCCGGGTGGTCGACTCCTGACGCGATCCAAGGCCGTCGCGACAGAGAGCTTTGCCTCGCACGAGATAAAGAGTGGAGCGGAAATAAAAGAGAGCGATCGGGTCGTTGGCATCTATCAGCGCATCTTCGCGCGCGCCTTATTCTTGGGATCTGTTGGGGAGGGGGGGAAGGGGGTTGCACATGGCGCGCGGCGCACGGCGCACGCCCCGATCCCCCGCTGTGCGCTACGGCCCGTCTTCCACGAAACTGGGTAACAATCTGAAACTAGACCGTCGTCTCTTTATCTGTGCGACATTTGATTGCTGAAGAAACGACGCGTCGCTTCATCGCGAAATGACTACAGATTCTTGTTAAAACCCAAGCTTATAATTTCTGATAACCCCTATCTTTTTAGAAAGTCACCCTTCTCTACCAGAAGGAAACGTGCCCCGCATGCACGCGTGCCGGGGGGCCGTAAGGGATCACCCAGAAAGTACGTCCGTTTTCCTCAGATTCATTCGGCAAATATAAAATACCGAAGCTCGCCGCCTGTAAGATTCAGGGTAGGCCACCCCGCCGCACACGTATGCATCGCAGGCAAGACGTTGTCTACCTACCAGGCGCCATGAGAGCTTGCAAGGGCTGAACTTGCCAGGTTTGTAATGGCGAATGACGGACGTGATTTCTGGATGAACCCAAGGGGACGTACGTAGCGAGGACAGGCATACCCGCCCGCACCGGTGCATGCGTTACTACGAGTGTGCGCGGCGTGAGTCAGCCATCTGGTATAACTCTTTAGTCTCTCAGTTTAAACTGACATTTGGTACTACAGTTCGATCATCCACCCCGTATAAATCTTGCCCCGAACCTATTTGAATGGTGCCGTTTAGACAGCCGCTTCCGTGAATAAAGAGAATTTGTTTCCTTACAGCTGAGGTTAAAGAGGGACGGTTCGGACGCCGTCGGCAGTTGGGAGCCGGCAGCAACGGAAAATACGGTATCATCGTCAACAGAGGATGTGGAGGCGACCGGGTATAAGTCCTACCACGACGCTAAACGGGTAAGTTTACTTGTTTGTGACCGGGGAGGGGGGATAGAGAAAGAGCTCCGTGCCACATAATAGTTGTGAATGGCGCTATCAAGAAGCTGCCCCATTCACGAATCGTTCTTATCTACGCTACTACATGTGGTCGTCATAATGCGTTCTCACTGACTCGTCGGACAGAGTAGATATGTGGTAGAATAGAGACTTGACGAAATTTTGGAAAGACGTGAATGTTTTATTTGTTTTTGCTCTTTGCTCCAGAATGTAATCGTTTATCGGGACGTGCAAAGCCGAAGCTGCTACCTTGAGAAAATCAACGGCAGCCAGAAGAATGACAGCTTCCGGACTCTATACGTGTCGCAGAAGTCTCTCGCAGACGAGGAGGCACGTGCAAGTCTGAGGGAATTCCTTCAATTAAGTGTCCTCGCTCCTTTGATCTTACCTCTCGTTCTTTGCCACAGCTTCTGCAGCAGGCCGGGCCCGAAGCGACTGCCTTCTGCTCCGGGATGCAGACCTGGCTGCTGGCCACTGTCAAAAATACACGTAAGATTCAATGAGAATTTGTTGTACTAATTTATGAACGCGGTTTTTGCCTCATTGGCAAAAGGGCAAAATGTTTTCATTTGCCATTTTTCACACATATTCTTTTACAGCGGTGCCGGACGAGCCCCAGCCCGGAGCAGCAAGAACTCCCTCCAGGCGAAGGCGCCAGACGCTGGTGCAGGGCTCCGAGCCCAAGAAGCACAAGGGCCAGACCCAGACGCAGTTCATCGCCTTCGGCAACGGCAAGGAAGGGGGCACGGCAGAGGCCATCGCCGGAGCAGACGGGACATCCAGGTCCACCGTCAGTAAGTGCGAGTCTAAAGACCGTTTGCAGCTCGAGGGAGCGACAGTCAGAGACGTTTTCTATTCAATTCTCCACTTGCTGCAGGAGGCGTGAACGGCATGGGCCAGGCGCAGAGCCAGTCAGGTGTTGACGATTGCGCGGAGTGTCCGGGTCCAGGTGGTGCAGGGGCCTCAGGGGCACCTGGAGCACCCGGTGCACCTGGTGTGGGCGGTTACCCTGGTGCTGGTGGAGCAGGGGCATACCCTAGTGCGGGAGGTCAAGGAGGAATACCAGGGATCGCGGGGCCTGGAGGATACCCAGGAGGCCCTGGAGTCGGCGGATACCCTGGCACTGGAGTTGGGCAAGGTGTTGGTGGGGGAACTGGAGCTGGAGGCGCTTACCCCGGTGGCGTAGGAGGATCTGGAGCTGGTGGTGCATACCCCGGAGCAGCTGGACCCGGCGGCGCATATCCCGGTGGCACCGGAGCAGGTGGCGCTTACCCAGGTGGCGTTGGAAGACCTGGAGCTGGTGGTGCTTATCCAGGTAGCACTGGAGCTGGTGGCACATATCC